GATGTTCTCCCTCACTTCTTGCCTGGGCTCCAGCTTCATGCCTACCACACCCGATGCACAGCTGCCCCCAAGGGAGCAACTTATGCACTGGAAACTGATTTGGTTTGGGACCTGCTTTGGTTCTCGGCATCATTTGGATCTGCCTCATGTCCGTTTCCCAGAGCTTGGATGGCTCTCCCTTGAATGATTACAACTGCACCTGCCACGCTCAGGAATCGCAACAATCCAAGACCCAGCACCTAAACCTGACTGTTACTTACACTTTTTGGAACCAGAAAACTTTCCAGAAAAAATATGCCATGTATGCACAACACAACAAGCAACCCCACATGGTTACTGGGATTCATGGAGGTTTTCACCATCTACTGGACAGACAATTGAGTGGTTTCTACTTTATTGTGGTTTCCATTCTCCCCACTCATGCCTCCTGCTGCTGGCACATATCCAATCGGCCACTGTACCTGACATGCAATCCCAAGGTGCATCACTCCCTGCCTACATGGCCTGCCTCTTCCTCAGCAGTGCACGCATGGAGGCCGGATGCTGACGGCTGCAAGGACTCCTGCAGCTGCTGCTCTTTCCAGGGGACTCCTTCCTAGTTATACACCAGGACTGAGGAAACTGTAGTCAGCCCACACCACAAGCCATGGCAGTATGGAGAAATCACAGAACAAAGCCTAATCCTAATATGGTTTCTCAGGACCAAAATTACCATGGTTAAGTATCACTGCTGGGTTCAGACAACACTACAGATCAATCATGGTAGAAACCCACCATGGCTTGTTGCATTGCCTGAACTCAGCCATAGAGTATGTTGCATGGTTCACATGCAACACTGAATCATGATTTGATGTTGTACAGATGGGTCCAAGCAAAGCCCCCTTCCTCCTGTATGACCAGGAGGAAAAATTGGGCAGATTTAGTTTTACTTTTAAAGAATCCCAACTTAGCTGCCAGTTTTGACAGAAAGGTGGCATATAAAATTAAATAAATAGTGTTCTGTTTAAACCAAGGATCCTGGTTAAGGCAAGCCTTGGTTTCTAAACAGGCCAACTTCCAGTCATGAGTTGTAAAGGTGGCTAAGCAAAACATGCTTTTAACCAGGATCCCTGGCTCAAATTCACCTACAAGGCTCTAAACCATGCTTTAGCATTACAAGAAAATTAGCCTGTTAAATAATTGTCATGATACTCATCCTATACATTTATATTCAGATTATAGGGTATCCACCTGCACAGGGGAACATGTACATGGCTTACATGATAGCCCATAATAAATCAACCCAGCCACCAAAAATAGCATAATTTTTAGCTGTCCACTCCATTTCCATTACTTACCTTCTTTATCTAAAACTCATTATTAGATTTCTATTCCTCAGGGAAAACCCAGAAATGCTTGTTACAGCCCAAATAAAATGTTTAACTGCTTTCCTAAATGTTGCGATTTGTTTTAAACATGTTTAGATTTGTTGGCTTTTTGTTGTTGCTGTTGTTGTTTTTTAAATGGAGACACCCATAGATTCTGTTTCAGTTGTAAAGGCAGAATTGCATTTATGCTGTGACCCAACACACAGTGGGATCTATTTCTGGGTAGGCATATATAAGCCTTCCCTGATAAAACATTATTTTGTACATTTTCAAAATAAAAATCCAGTCAACTCAAAAGAAAATCCTCCCCTATAGAAATGGGGGATTATCAAGAAAGCTCCTTAGATTGAACGGATCTCCAGCTAATGAACTGCTTTTCAGAGAAGAGCAGGCTGGCAACACGATACTCAGCCACTAAAAAAGGAAACAATAAGAAGAGGTAACTCCAAATTGAGAAAGCCACAGACATATTCAGAGTAAAATTCTGGGCTGATTAATGCTTTCACACTGGTTTTCCCATACCAGTTTAAGGACCCTAGATTTATGGCACTGTTTGCTAAATTAAAGGGATACTCATGTTGTCTACATAAATCACACTCACCCTACATTTCAAAGAACCTTTTGAAAAGCTACTGTCCTGACTAAATGAGGTTCACAGAATCAGCCAACTTTTAACAGGGCTGAAGAGGTTAGGCTGGATTTGAACCTGGCCATTTTGGTTCGACAGCAAGATCAAAAATGAGGCTTGGTAGATTTTCAACTGAAGAACTGGAATGGAAAAATTCAGCTGGGTCAGTCTAACCACTCAGCTTCTGCTACGGTGCAAGCAGATGCAGCTAGACAGAAGTATGGTGTTTATTCAAAAAGTCCACGCTGCATGTCGTGCTACTGATCCCCAAAACTGTATGGCAAAATTCTGAAAGCTAAAAAACTAAGTAGAAAGGGTCACAGCTGGCTCCGCAACAGCAATGCCAGGGCAATTCTGAGTCATGGTTATGTGACTCAGCAAGACCAGCAAAGGGTCTCGTGGTGGGTCCTGAGGTAGACAGCGCCTGCAAAAGCTTGTGTCAGAGGAGTTTTAGGTGCCACAAGACATGTTTTCATACTGATTAAGCAGTGGCAGTCCCAGACAGACAGAAAGCAGAGACAGGGCGTATCTTGTGCTCTGGCAAGCTTCCTTCACGGGTACTGCCAACTGAGCACATCTTTAATTTTCATTCTGGACTGTTCCGTTCCATAAACAGGCCAATTCCATTTGTAGAGTGGAAAAAAATCTATTTCCTGCGATGCCACTCTGAGTCAGGGGAGGTTCACAAACGATGCTTCCTTTGTCTTGTATCCCTCAAAAGGCAATAGGCAAGGCAAAGTCGATGGCAGATTTCACCAACTTATGTCTAACAGCAATCCCACTGATGGGAGTAACATGGAACTCTCCCAACACAGACATGTGTCAGACAGAGAAACCCACAAGGTGAGTCACAACTGAACTTTCCATGAAAAAATGACAAACATAGATTGCTCATTGAATGGAAAGCTACTAGTAAGATGTGCAACTAACTGAATATAGTATTGTCGTGATTACACTGCCTTGTAACCCCTTGTGAAGAACCCCAGCTGGCTTATATAGCTCGCACCCACTCCCTTTATTTGCTCACAACTTCCCTGTGAGGTAGGTTAGACTGAGAGTCTGTGACTGGTCCAAAGTCAGTGAGCTTCATGGCTAAGGTGGCACTAAGACTCGGATCTCCCAGTCCCAAGTGCAATGTTCTAACCACACCACACCAGCTTTTAGTAATCTAGAAAGTGTCAGGCTGCAAGGTAAGTAAGAGGTGAAATGCAAAATTAATGTCCTTAAACAAAAAGAATTTTGGGGTGATTATGAGATTACACAGCAATGGCAAGGAGATTACAACAGAGAAAAGAGAGGAATTCTATTTCAAACATGTGAACATCCACAGTGGTTTGGATCTACAACCAACAAGACATCTGCAAGAAGTTTGCAGATTTCTGTAAGTTACTATTTGATACTCCGGGGGATGGTGGAGGACAGGAGAACCTGGAGGAATGTTGTCCATGGGGGTCACAAAGAGCTGGATGTGGCTTTGCGACTAAACAACAGCAGCTACTTGATACTTCCTTTCCATCTGTGCTTAATATGCCAACATTTCTAGATTCAACCTACTTGCCTTTATTAGGGCAGGACAACAGAAAAGACACTGTACTCTTGAATGAAAACATTTAATGTGCTAAGGAAAAAGCTAAAGCAGGTGAAACCACCTGTCCCTGAAGGCTTCACCTGGCTTTTAGAAAATGTAAAGATTCTCTGGCACCCACCACATGATTAATGATGCTCCAATGCCTGCCTCCAGAAAAAATCTGCCATGAACTGGACCAAACTGGGCTGAGGATAAGTTCACAACTTCATACTCTTGGCCTTTATATGGATGATATGATTGTTTTACAAGACAACTGATAGCGGCCGCACCTAAACTCAAAACGATATTACGTGATTTTGTACAAGTGCCAAGTTTACATGTTCACTATTTAAAATTTGAAGCCATGTTTTCTTAATGTTGCACCAAAAATACACCATCAAGTTTTTGTCTTTTTGGAGATACTCATGTTCTACTCTAAGCTCCAATACTAAGGTATTTTAATATCAAAGAATGTATTAAACAAGATAATGTTACCTATCGCAACGTGCCTAATTCATCATCATAGGCTCATTTTGACCATTTGGGCAGAGAGATGCTCCCGGGGGGGGGGGGGGGGGGGCTCCACTCCTTTCATTGGAAAGTCCCCCTACTTTTTGTAAGAAGGCAAGACCATATAATTTGGTTGAATGGAAACACAGGGGACTGTATCCATCTTCCAAGAGGGTCAGCCAATTTTAAAAGGATCGTTTAAAGGAAAAGCCGAGGGAACTAGTTTTACCATGGCTTCTGTACCGTCAACAGTCCTTTTAAGCTCTCCTTCGGTGGAACAGGTGGTGTACATCAAGGACAGTGATCAGTCACTCACAATCTAGGCCACTCCTTCCATGGCCTCTGCACTGATAGTCCAGGTTCAGTAGCATAACATCAGAGCACTGGGATATGCCCAATTTCTGTCTTTTGAGGGCAAACCTTTTAATGAGAACATCATATAAACCAGGGTGGTCCAGCACATGGCCCAAGATTAGGCAGAATCAGGTGCCTGAGGTGACACAGAAGCTAAGATGGATCCTCTACTGATTAGGGCACACATCTCCTTTATTGTTCCTGGTACATGTGCTCAGGACTTTGGTCTTTTATCTTAGTCAAAGCAGCAGTATTTTTCCATGACAAGATGGGAGAAAGGTTCACGCTGTACAGACTTCAACCCATCCTTTGTTCTGGGAGCCTCTCACTGTGCCCTTTAAAATTGTGGCTTGCACTCTAATACCCATTCATCTGCATACCTAATTTATTTTAGGCCAAAACTAAACTGGCCACGTTGCTATTCCACTTTAAGATTCACATGCATTATATGTGATGGGCGTTTCAGTGCAAATCCAAGGGGGAGGGATTAAGACATCAGGCCTGTGAGATGCTGCCAAACATTCTGCATTTAACTTCACAAATAATTTAAAAATGAAAAAGCTTCAAAACTTACTTGTCCAGAAAGTCCTTGTCCACAACCGCACAGATGTCAAGGAGAGGATTTCCCATTCCAAAGAGCACATTTTCACTGCAAAATAAAGTTGAGCAAGGTCCTCAGTTCCAAGAATTGCAGCACATTGATAAAACCTGCTGATTACACTTGACAGATTACAAAATCTTCTCTTTCAACTGAGCACGATTATTTGATGAAGCCAAGCCAACCCCGCCCCGTCTCCACCACGCAAATTATAATGTACTTACATGTTAACTTGCTAAGCCAAAAGTTCCTCAACATGCTTGCAGTACAGATTTTCCCAGCGAGTGGCTAAGTGGCCTTTGAAATTCTCAAATATTAGTTCACCAAAATGTCATTTCAGAAGACCATGAACCCTCATATACTGCCACTCAGCTTGTCTGTGGTCCAAATAGCCCAACTAGTTGTACTATAATAAATGTTCTAGCAAACTTTAAACCACCCTGCTCTTGGAGCTGCCAACTCAAACAGGTTGCTCTGCTCCGCCACACGGAAGGTCCTGCTCCACTTCCTGAACGCGAGGCTCCATTCTCCTTCAATAATTAGATCTAGTTATTCTATAAACCAGGCAACCAACAAAATTAGTGGCTAATGTTTTAAAAAGGAAAAAAATGTGTCTCTATTTTAAATTGCAATTTGCATCAAGCAAAACTGAGTCAAAATTGTATCTTCTCCATGTTTTCATTTCATGATCAGAAGACTGACAGCTCCTAATCTCCTGTATTCAAACTGAAGTTTTGTTGTTGCAAACTATTGTTTAAGAAACATGTAACAGCCAATGCTTCTAAATGAAAACCCTGAAGAGAAGCCCCACTGACTTCAGCAACAGCTCTTTCTGGGTTGTAAATGTAAGGCTGAGTAATGCAAGTCCATTCAAAGTTTGTATAACAATGTTAATGAGGCAAAACCAGTTTTTCTCATGGGTCAGTTTCATTAACCTTGTTGTGGTTAGAAATATAAAATGGAATACTTCTAGATGAGGTAAATTGTTAGAGATTTCAAGGGATTAGCCTCATGCAGGCTGAAGTATAGCAAAGTTGTATTTTCTACAAAGCTTACAGATCCTGGGTCTGAACTCACTCAAAAATGTTCACTTTTCCTGCAACCATCTGACCATAAAGGCAATTACGAGTACATGCTAGCCTTCAACACAATCTGTCTGCCAGAATCCAACCTAGCAATCAAGAGCGAAACCCTTTTTCAGCTTTCATTATGTGGGCACACTTTACCACAGAAGTTACATAAACAGCCTATGAGTGCCAGATGTGGACTGGAGGTTTCTCCAGTCCACAAGTTCCAGCCAATCCTGATCCACTGAGGCTGCTTGCTACTGTGTTATGTATTAACTATGGGATTTGGGGGAACAAAGAACCCCAAGGGCAGGAGTTCAGCCATCACACTAACAACCTGCCAACAGGGAGTCCACGACTTGCTTTCTGAAACCAGAAAAGAGCAACTGCAATCCACGCACGCCAACAAGCTGTGGGTTAATTAAAGCAGGATTTGCTGTTGTGACATGTGAACAACCTCATTGTTGTGAATATAAAGTCACAAAAACCCTACACAAGCTGCCTTAAGCTTCTTGGATAAAAACACCATAGATAAAATAAGTTTTTCCTTAGAGAAGCAGGGCAAGTTTGGAAGTTTTACTGAAGCTTTATTATTGTTGTTATCACTTTGCATTTGTATTCTGCCCTCCTTCCTCTTGCGAGGAACGCAAGGCAGCCCAGAAGTTCTCCTCTCCGCGAGGCAGCCTGGGCTACGAGGCAGTGGCGGCCCAGAATCCCCCTTCATGGATGGGGAGGGACTAGTGTCAGATCTCCTGAGTCCCAGTCCAGCAGACTTAACCACTACATCATGGGTGCAACAACAGAGCACGGCACCCAACAAGGACAATATTTTGCGATGCTTGTCGGCAAAGCAAGGTTGCAGGTATGGTAAAGGTCTCTTCTGCCTATGAGGGATGGCTGTTCTTCTCAGGTCAAGGAAACGTGCACAGAGTGTTCAGGACAACCCTCGGAAAATGACAACTGCCCTGCGGCTCTTCTGGCTTCTTGTGTACACAAGCCACACACTTTCAAGTTAGCAAGTTCCGGACTGGAACAGGACTCTCAAGCAAACAAGCTTATGACTGAGGCTGGCATCCTGACCTTACTTCATGTTTACTTAGAAGTAAGACCCTCGTGACCTGCCTCTGTGATCACTGTGGACAAGAGGACACTGGGCCAGAGATCTTGTTCTCATTTAGGGGGCTCTTAAGTTCATGGAATTCAACCTGGCTCGTTTCCAAGTCAGCCGACCAAGGATTGCACTTTGTATTATCTCCTTATTTGCTTCCAGAGCCCAGCTCAAAGTGCTGCTGCTTACTTTAAAGCAAAGCCCTAAATGTCTTACAGCCCTAACATCTCATGCAGATTCTCCTCTCCCACCGTCCTTACAGTTCCTGTGCTAAGATTGGGAGAGGAGAGACTTCTGCCACTGAATAACATGATCAAAAAGAGAAGGCTTTCTCTGGGGTGGTACCTTGGCGGCCAACTCTGTATTTTTTTTTTTTTTTTTTTTTTTGGTAGAATCACAGAAAAGTAGAGATGGAAGAAGCTAGGCAGGCCATGGATTCCAACACCCTGCTCAATGCAGGACTCCACTGTGCTTGTATTTTCCCAAGTATTTTAACTTCGCCTTATTGTTTGCTGGGATAATTATACCTTCCAAAGTTACTGCGTGGATTTAAAACCACTGTGGCTAAAGCTTTTTTTATGTGTACACAACTCTAAGATCCTTGGGGATGGGGTTCAGAATTTTTTAAAATAAATACATGGCCACATGTGATTTTCAGAGAGTTTTGCCTCAGCACAACACTCTTGCAAGCCAAGAAGAGAGGCCGAGTAGCAACGACCCCCACGAAACGGTGTGCCGCTTCGCATGCAACTGCCTCCCAACCCCAAACCTCACCCACCCACGGTGGAAATGCTTGGTGGAAGACCTTTTGTGCCTGCCCTGGGAACAGTCTTGCAAAAGTGGCTGGTGCGCTCTCAGCACCTCAGCTGCCGAGCTCTTCAAAGCAGGGGCTGCAGGCATTAAATCAGTCAGAAGGGAGGCTGTCCTGTTCCTAGACATCTCAAGGCACGTTGGCTCGGTGTGATCCAGCAGCTGAACTGAATGATATCCTCAGAGACATGCTGGGTTTTGCTACGCAACTGTAGGCAAAGGGATATCTGATACACCCGATACTGCCGGTGAGGGACAAGAATGATTTAAGTCTGGGACTGCAACTTCAGGTAGCATTTCAGGCACTATGGTATGAATTAGAATATATGCGCTAAGAAGTCATCCGCTAACTGGCTAACTATTGCCTACTGAAGAGAAAACAACTGCACTATGGTTATGCTACCTACACCAGACAGCTCAATCTGTTCTGATAATTATTTCATTCAAATCTTAGTAAGTATCTAGTGTCTCCCAGAAGTACTTCACACATATTTTTGTGGGTACACCTGGCAGATCTAGATTATATAAACAGCAAAAGTAGAGTGTTTTAAAATGGCTATATTTTGTAAAAAAAATTAAGTATATCCTTGGGAGTGAGGGAGAATAGGTAGGCAGCTTCCATGCACAAACATGGTCTCCTGTGGAGTTATCCAAAAATGCCCAGGCACTGCATCTGCCCACGTGCCTTCATTCCACATGGGCAGAAAACCAGCAGTTCACATTTCTCGCCCTATCACCACATCTTTGCAGAGTAGAGGCCACCATGTGAAGTGCTGGCCTCGGGCAGAGATGCCTTCACACAGAACTGTAAAGCTTCACAGAGAACTAAGCCTAACAAGAGAGAAAGGCCCTGGCAGCTGAATGGGACCTCTGTGTTAGAGGAAGCATCCTTCTCTCTTGAACATCTTCCAGGAGGTGCTATAAGAATCTAGCTGTCCATTGCTAGAAACAGGAAGCCACACTAAGAAGGTTTGATCTAACAAGGCTTTTCTTATGAAAATCGTTTCTGCAAAAGGAAGTCAGAGAAGCACGTTATTCAACAGCCAAAGCAATTTCCTGCTTTAAATTAGCTGTTTGCAAATAGTTTTCTCTAGAGGTCTAGACCCCATGGAAGATAGGAGTACTTTCCTTGAGGAAGAGAGTAAGTAATGAAATGCAACTACTCCACTATTACTGGTTTTTCCACGTTTGGTAATAATCCCTGCAACGCACTGCTTCATGAAGGTGCTCTCTCAATCTGCACAGCTTATCGAGATGCTCATCCCAGAATTTTCTCTCCAAGGCACGCTCTCCAGCAGAGTATTAAGAGCAAGCACGCATTTTTGGCAAGCAAGAAGAGCTTAGAAATCCTATCGCTCATGCAAAAGGATGCACAGAATTAGAGGAGGAGTTCCGTGCAACTCACAAGCTTGCTCATGTCTCTGCCCAGGAAAACCAGTCCCTTTAAAGCATCACAATACTTTGGCCAATGAAGCCGACAAATCGGAGGAGCATCCTTTCCACGCTTATTTGCCCAGCAGAGATGCCAAAGGACTCAACCGCCGCACCCCAGAGCCTTCATTCGGGGAAGGAGTGCTCGGAAGCGCGCCCCGGTGGATCCGGGGGACCCTTTTCCCAGGAAGCGGGGAGAGCAGAGCGACTTGCAGGACCCGCGCCGGGAGGCGACCGCCCGCCCCGATTCGTGCGCCCAGATGCGCTTTCGGCGGCACCGCGCTCCGGCACCTGCCCGGCCCAGGCTGGGAAGCGCTCCGGCGGGACCGCGCGCACGTGGCCGGCCAGCCGGCTCCCCCGGGGCACCGGGCGGCGGGAACGCGGCGGCGGCGGGGAGCGGGGCCGCCCGCGGAGCCGCGTGCCCCGGAGCCCCGCCGAGGGGAGGGGAGGGGAGGGGAGGCGCGGCGCGCACCGGCCCCGGGGATCGGGCGGCGGGGAAGCCGGGGACGCCGCGGCGCGGAGCTACCTTAGGGCGGGCATCGCGGC